AGCACCTGGTCCTCCCAGTACTAGGGGTCGGTTCCCACGCTCTGCTCAACCTGCTAGGCCCATGCCCCCACACTTCCACAGAATCCATTTAGACGAGGCCAGGAGGTGAGACGCAGTTTGTACAGGAAGGGAATGGGAGGCTCGGCTTTTTTATTTCTCCATGGGTTCGAGTATCTAGGGAATTCTATACCAGAGGGGAAACAGCGAAGTTCTGGAGACGCAGCCACAGGGTCTGGAGGGGTCCCCGGGGAACTAGTGTTCTATGAGGAATCGTCACATTTGAGTCTGTCTTCTCCCTAAACCTTACTGGGAGTAAATGAAGGGGGAAAAACATGGAGTTGGAGAGAAAAGGTACTGAGACTATGGTAGGAAATAGTACATTGTGTCTGGGTTCCAACCTTTGGGTGTAAATGATGTCTGCCCAAAATGAACATTCAGGTGCACATTTTTTTTTTTAAATCTGAAGAAGCCCTAAGAGCCTTTGTAGAGGAGCACAGATGATTGTTTTGCCAGGGAGGAAAAGCCAGGGAGGGGGAGAAGCTGTCACAAAAGGGCTAATGGAGGTGGGGGAGGAGGAGAGCAGAGCGGACAGGACGCCAGCTCTAGTGTGGTTACCAAGCAACCACCCGCAGCCCCTGCTTCCTGTTGCCTTGGTAACAGTGAATGGAGGGGCTTTGGCTACTGTTTATCTGTGAGCACCTTGATTCTCTAAATTAAATATCTCCTGGTAGCCCCTGCCTCAGCCTGGGCTGTGTGGGAGTCATCGCCATTCCCATGTACTGCTCCAATTACCAGTGAGGATGCCCTAGAAGGTGATTACCCCCGTCTTTAAGTCAAAGACAGAAGACCCCCAAAATCCTTCCCACCCATACCCCAGCCCACTTCAGAAATGAAATCATAACCTGCCCAGCCATTTTCTTGAGACTTGCAGTTCACAGTCCTCTCATTTAACCCTATATACTAGAGGAGATGATCTCCTTTAAACTACCCCACACACACACATCCCCATTCCCCTTCAAATGAGGAACAAGAGAGATACAAGATATTGTTTCAGTGTGTCTTCTGCAGATATAATTGGTTCCACAGCCCCCTCCCATTCTTTACACGGAAGATGGTTCTGGATTGCCTCACTGCTGAACTTCACAGTGAAGTGAGGTAGACATGTGTTTCCGTTAACAATTAGGCACTAGCCCAGCAGCATTGGATTCTTCAAAAGTCTTACCTATTTTTTTTCTCCTCTGCATTGGCTTCCTTGCAAAGCCAGCACTTGCAGATTCAGCAACCCCCCCCCCGCCCGCCCCCATCTCTGAATTGGCAAGCGCTGACTCTACTTTTCCTTCCACCTGTCACTGTCATTTGTCTGCATGCATTTGTAACACTTGGGTGGGAAATCATCGGACCCACAAATTCTCTAGCCTTCTCAGGGGGTGAAGGGGGAAAAGGAAATGCCCAAGAAGTTACTGAGCAACCTGGTTTATGCATTGATTTGTCTAGAATAGTTCTCACTAAGAGCCAAGAACTTGCTTCCAAAACAAAGCCGTGTGTTCACACTGCTGTCACCCAGTGACACAGATAGAGGGGGAAACCCTCCGCTTCAGACAGTAGCTACCAATATGGCTCACATCAGCAAATGGGATCATATTTCCATTCCTTCATCCTTCCCCTACAAACTGCTAATATGTTATAATGAACCATCCTAATTTCAGCCTATGTTTAAGTCCTCACTCCCCAAAGAGATGGCCTGTTGAGATATACTATGGGGGGGGGTGGTTACATCAAAATGCCTTTCTCTTGCATGTTACTATAGAAACTTCCTTTACACCAAACCAGACAGCTAGTCTGTTTTTTGTAGTTTGCTTCTTAGAGGACTGCCTTTCCTTACTAGTTCTCTGGGCCAGCTATCACTGATTACATCAGTAATTCCCTCAGCAACTATAGTCTTTTACTTAAAATTATTATTATTATCATTTTGCTCATTTCTTTATGGACAAAGGGTTTACTTTTCTTTCAAGAAGATAAGTTAGACCTTATTGGCCAAAAAGGAAAAGCCAATCTCTCATTGGTTGGTATGTATCACTTCACCAACCAATAAGAGGATGCCATTTATCCTTTACTGACTAGCAGAGAGAGCAGGGTACCCAGAATGATTGAATCTGCCTTAGTTTCTATCCAGCAGCAAAGGACAGGTTCGGAATTCTGGAATCCAGAATCAGGGTCTTGCTTTACCTGGTTCAGATTGCTCTTGATTTACATGAATTACGTTTGGTGCTTAGTTATTTGTAGCTCACTCGAACATACCCGAAGAACACATTGTTCTATGTTTTCCCACTTTATGATGCATCATAAATATATTTCTAAGACAGTAGGGGTTATTTGTAGTATCAGTACACCAGGGGTATGGGGATCTGAGATCTCTAGGAATACAGCGTTGGTCCTTAAGTGCAAGGGATTTATTTGTGAAAAATTGGAGGGAACAGGATGGAGAAGAGGAGGGTAATGTACCTCACCTGCGATGGGCAGGCATCTCTGTGTTTGGGACTCTGCTCAGCCTTGGTGCTCTGGGATGGTTTTGCTTTTGCACTTTGGCATCTCGACAGCTGCCTTTTTGGTGTGAAAACAAGGATGGATGGAGACACGACTCTAGTACAGTAGAAGAGCAGACTGGCCACTGCTCAGGAAGGCGCCTGGCAGGTAGGTGGTGAGGGTTTCAGGAACTGTTTTGGGGCAGGTCAGCTTTTCTGCCACTGTTTGTTTTCTTCTTCTCTGCTCCAAGCCCTGAAATGCTGATGTGGATTTCCAATTCTCAGGAAAAAAGGTGCGTCGGGAGAGTCCGTTGAAGATCCTCTTCATCTTGGACAAGCACACCAATGACAGCCCGGAGGATGCCTGGATGTGAGTACAGGCTCAGTTTTTCTCTCCTGGATTCTTGGGAGTAGACAGACACCTAGCCAGGATTTTGCCATCAAGGGACATCTTCTTTGCCCCCTCCCCATGCTGGGCTGAATTCAGTGGGGATTATGGGCTCCAGTGCCAGGCTGTACTTCCATATTAGGGGCTCTGATTCCTCAGAGGTTAACCATGCTTGAATCAGAGGCTCAAGACTAAATCTTTCAGGACAGTATCAAGAAAAGCCCCCTGACTTCTCTGTGAAAATGACAGTTCAAGTCCTGTGCCCACCCCCACCTCAGGCTCTTTCTCCATATCTAAAGCTTCATATTCTCCAGCCTGCTTCACAAAAGATACATGAAGGCTCAATTAATTGTTACCATGGTTACGTGGAGTGGCCACACTGAGGATTCCTATCACCCATTACTGTCATGAGGTAAAAGAGAGGAGGGGTTTGGGGATCGTTGTCATGGAGGAAACCATGGAAACCGTGGTTGCTAAGGGGACAGCTCTAAATTCAGAGCAAAGAAATGGGAAGTGGAGAGTGACACTTAGTGGGCTCAAGGGTAGGTCACTATTCCAAAATGCAATCCTCTGAGACTATAGCAATGTTTTGGGTACCTTGCATCTTCCTCCAACTCAGAGAAAGACTGGAGTTTAAGAATTTCAGAGAGCCCAAACCACCGCCAGGTCAAAACCATCCTCACTGAATCTATCAAGAGAAAGGCAATGAAAAGAGACTGGAGTTTAAGAATTAGAGCCCAAACCACCACCAGGTCAAAACCATCCTCACTGAATCTATCAAGAGAAAGGCAATGAAAATGGATTGGTCCCACAACCACCACAAAGTTCTGCTGCCTCTGGACTCTGCCTCTCTGCCACTGTTTTGACAGGCTAGTTAGTAAGAGCCCCCACTCCCTTAGGCAGTGTAGGACAGTGACTGAGTTGGTGGCTTTTGAATCAGGGGTACTCGAATCCAGGTCTACAAAGTGGTATACAGATGGCTTCTGAGAGTCTCTCTGAAGTTTTGGGTCATGTCCTTTAGCATGTCTCTTACCACTTGAAGGTCATACGGAAGGTCCCTAAGAAAGTTCCACATCCTCCAAAAATACTCAAAAGTATCAACTGTTCCTACTACCCACTTTTGGCTCAGCAGCCCAGTTAGACTTGTTCTTTAGCATACACTGAAGTCGATCCTCACAGTGGTCCTGGGTTAGAACTGGGGACGTACCTTGCATCCTCCACAAAGCGCTTTTTAGAGTGTAGAACTGTGCCCCATCCCAGGCTCTGGGCTATGAAAGGGTTGGACTGAGAGGCCTTCCCCACCCCATTTGTCGATGACTTTCTCCATGTCCAGGCAAGCCCTTCCCCAGTCTAGATGAACAGAACAAATCAAAGGATGGAGGAGGGGTGGGGCAAAGAGAATGAGCTAGCAATTAAAAGGCAAAAGAATTAAAAGCACCAATCAGGAAGGGTAATAATCCTTCAGCTGCTGCAGAAATACAATTAGAGCCATGCGCTCTTGGAGTTGCCAGGATATTGTGGCTTTTCCTAATTAAGGAGCGGATGTGCCCTGTCCATGCAATTAGAGGCTGGCTCAGGCAGTGGGGGCCCTGCCTACCTTTTATCAACGTACTACAAGGGGAATTAACCAACAATACAGCCTATGTCCCCTGCCTAGTAGTCCCACTTGACTCTGAGCTATGGGTTATGCGCTCTGGGAAGATGTTCACCTTGGGTTCTGGGGACCCTTGGGAAGGGGAGAAGAGGCCTGGGGTAGGCACTACTTGGAGCTTTTTCTTTTATCTATTCTCTGTGGTAGTGCAGGGTTTTATGATACCTGAAGAAAATATGGAGACATGAGCTGCCCACCTGCTTTCCATGAGAAATAAGATTCCCCTAAGATTAAAGGAAGCGTCTTCACTGTGGAAAATAGGAGGAGAAAAAAAAGGGGATTTCTCCTCCATTTGGAGCCAGAGACTCCAAGGAGTTTTGGGGTGTGGGGGGTACATGGGGCGGGGAGGTGTATGGGGTGGTGCAGTGGAGAACATAAGGAAAGTAGAGGGCATGGGGAAAGACGCTGGCCTCCCCACAGGAGTATCCAGATGATAACAGGTGGTGGCCAAGGCCCAGAGGAGGTGGTTAGCAAGGCCATGGACAGGCCAGCCCCGCCTGGAAGACTAGTGATTTTGTTGTTGTCTCTCTATACTCAACAACAAGTCCCAGTCTACCACACGGTGCGGGTCCTCTGAGCATCAGGGGGAGGTATGGGAGCACCATTTCTGGATGTATTTTCTCTGCCTTCTATGTTCCCTAGCAAACTACCAAAATATTCCTCTAAGGCCTGGGCTGAAGACACCTCAGGGGGACTCCTCCAGAAACGAGTACACTGAATCTAGAGTGGGGCAGGGGACAGGATGTCTGTCCTCAGGGAATGGTGAGCGACTCTGCATCCACACACCCTCCCATGGGCTTATTCATTCACCCTGCAAGCTCCTCCTTGGTGAGAGACACCACAGGGCCAACACACAGGGCTCATGGAGGGCAGGTAACAGTGTGTACTAGCACAGGCACATGTCCCTATCACCTTTTGGGCAAGTGGGCCACCCGATCCTGGATGGTCTGCAATGTCTGTGCCTGCCTGTGGGGCATAATGATATAGAAAAAAACTCCTCACTGCCAATAAATGGAATTTTGGAAGCCCTGTCTGCTGCCTGTGCTTGGAGGCCCCCTCAATGGCAGAAGTAGTCATTTCCCCACAAATGTGGCAGCATATGCCTTTAATTCCATCACTCAGTAAGGCTTCTGTGTGTAAACCTGTCTTAAAAGGGGAAGGAAGGAAGGAAGGAAGGAAGGAAGGAAGGAAGGAAGGAAGGAAGGAAGGAAAGAAGGAAAGAAGGAAAGAAGGAAGGAAGGAAGGAAACCCTTCACAGCCCTCCATCCTTTCTGGGTGTCATGTAGCCCAGGCTGGTCTTCAGTTACCTACACAGCTCTCCATCCTTTCTGGGTGTCATGTAGCCCAGGCTGGTCTTCAGTTACCTATGTAGCTGAGGATGATCCTGAACTCTGTTCTTCCTGCTTCTGCCCCAAATGCTGGAATTACAGGCATGTGCAATCATACTCGGTTTATGCAGTGCTGGGGCACAAACCCAAGGCTTCACACAAGAGAAGCAAGCACTCTACCACTTGAGTCCTTCAGCCCTTCTCTTTGCTTCTCTTCTTTTCCTCCTCTCCCACTCCCTCCATCCTGACATTCATTCATTCATTTGCACTACTGGAAATAGAACCTAGGGTTCTGTGCTCTCTTCTTTTCCTCCTCTCCCACTCCCTCCTTCCTGACATTCATTCATTCATTCATTTGCACTACTGGAAATAGAACCTAGGGTTCTGTGCATGCTAAGCAAGTGTTGTACCTACACCCCAGCCCCTCCCCTTTTTCAATGCCCCTGTCTGGAGGTCACCTTGACCTAAGGTGGGTACCAAGTCCTGATGTTAACACACTTGGTGGAAATAAATTTCTCAGCAACAAGCTCGTGCCTTCTCTGTCCCCTTCCATGCTGAGTCGCACTGTCGTCCTCGACCATGGAGCAGAGCATGCTATAGCACCTTACACTGAGATTGGTCGGGAGCCACACACCTTCAGAAATCATGAAACTGTAACCTTGGTTAAGCTCAGCTCAGCAGGACAGTAACCAACACTTGGAAGCTGTGTGACCTTTGGAAAAGGTACTTAGCCTCTCTGAACCACTTCACTCCATCCCATGTCACCTCCCCTCCTCCAAATGGCTCTTTCCAATTTCTCCTTGCTCCAACCCTGCCAGTAGGCAGCCAGTCCTATTGAAAATCTCATTCACACTTGAGAAGGCTACAAATTGGGTCACTCAGCAGGTGTCCGTCCTGCAAGCGGCAGGCAGAGTGTACGTGCATGAACCCGAGTGTGTTAAAAGAGAGAATGGGCAGAGCTAACAAGAGGAGAGAGGGGGGGAGTAGAATCTCCCCCCAGATGCCCTCAGCATCCAGGGGTGACATGGGAATGAGAAGACTTCAATCTCGTGTTCAGGAAGCAAAAATTTCAGAAGGGGAAGGAAATGAGGTATATATCTCTGATCCGGGAGCTGGAGAAGGCCACCCCTGTGGTGTGGAGCAGAGTCCTGGCTCTGAAATCAAACTCAGCTTCAAGCCTCCTTCCTTTGCTTTCACACTGTGACTTTGAGACAGGCACTTGCCATCTCTGAGCTTCATATGTTACTGATCCTATCTACCTAGCTAGGTGGTCATGATAATTCGGCAAGGGGGAGTGTTATATTTTTGGTTATGAGCCTGGTCTTTAACGGCTGGGCCATCTCTCCAGCCCATGCGGGGTGTTATAACACACGATGGCATTTGGGTCTCTTTTGCTTCTTTGTCAGTTTTCCTCTTCACCAGCCTCAGTCACCTTCTTTCTACTAGCCTTCCTTCCCAAGTAGTTTTATCAGCCCACTTAATGTTAATCTTCCCCTTCCCCAGAGCAACATCGTGTCTATTTCAAGCCAATCAATACATAATAATACATAATAAAACATGGAGTTTGATTAAACCTCCCCTCATTTTAAAGACACATATATATCAAGGTTTAGACATGTGACAACTTGCCTCAAGTCACTGGGCAAAATAAAAAGTTCTTTACTTTCTAAGATAAGGTGGTGTTTTAGGACCTCTACAACACAAAGGGGT